GCAGGAAGGCTGACGTTTCGGGCTTAGACCCTTCTTCAGAAAGGTCTTCAGACCCTTTTGCTGAAGAAGGGTCTAGGCCCAAAACATCAGCCTTCCTGCTCCTCCGATGCTGCTTGGCCTGCTGTGTTCATCCAGCTCAACACCTTGTTATCTCTATAAAATAACAGCCTTGCTTGGAGTTAATCTATTCTGTGTTTAACAGAATTACCTGTTGTTCAACCATGCCTATTACTCTTACTTTTATTGCTCTTTGCTGCTACTTACAGAATGTACAAGGAACTCTGTGCCACATGTGAGAGCGTTTCGATGAGAAACTTCCATCTAGGACGCACTGATGTAATCCGATCATCATCTACAGAGTCCTTGGAGTTTGTGATAAGCATGGATGACCCAGAAAAGGAGGTATTTTGTCATTGAAAATGTGTTTTTCCCTAGCCCTGAAATTAATTTCTCAGCCTGTCGGATAACAACAATAGAAAATTAATGGCTTTTGAAATTTGAATCCTTGCAGGAGATTAAATTGAGACTGGCCTTGAATTTCTGTGTATGGTATAGAGTTATGCATTTTCATTCTTTTGGTATCATGCAATCAAGTCTTTCTCATTTAATCTCTTGGCATTAACACTTTATCGCCAGGTCAGGTGTATCAAGGTCTCATTAAAGCAAAACTCCTCCAAAAATTTACCTCCAACCATATTGTGTATGGATTTGAGATTTCTTATTAAAGCTGTCTATTTGGTCAATTTATTTATTTAAAAATGATCTAGACTTGGAGTCTGCTTGAAGCTGGTTTGGGAATAGCTGAACCTATTTTCCACTGGAGCACTAGTCACTGAGGATTTTCATTCACTGGCCCTGATACTTACTGATTCCAGTGATGACTCTCACTGGGGAATGTCATTCATTAACTCCAGTACCAATCCTACTGGGGACCATCACTCACTGAGCTCAGTACTGACTCTTCCTGGGAACCTCTCTCACTGACACCAGTTACTGACTGGGGAATCTCTCTTACTCACCCTTGCTGGGAAACATTATTCCCTGACCCAAGTACTGACCCCAGTTGCAGACCCTCACTAGGGAATCTCTTTCACTGACCCAGTCACTGAATCGCACTGAGACACCTCAGTCAGTAACCTCCGCACTGACTCTCATTGGGGTCTGCACTCTCTGATTGCAATGAGATTAAGAGAAAATAGTATATTTAAGGTGTAAGATCTAATTAAGTGAAGACAAATTGATCATACGCAGTTCTATCTGACATTATGGACATTAATTACACAAGAAATTCCTCCACTCTTAACATGCTACAAAATATGTGATCACAAATCAACCTTTTTTCCAGTAACTTTTTATTTTACTTTGCGTAATTTACCAAGATTAACAATGTAATTTTCTTCACCTTGAATAACAGGTAAACCAGAAGAGAGCAGCACTAGGGAAAGCTGTTGATTGCCACAGTGCTTACACTGACATGGTAAGATGACGTATGGAGAACCTGTACTATTAAGCCTCGTGAATCAGGCTGCACTGCTCTTCCATTCTTCCAAGTTTGGCCTTTCTTGTTGTGTTTGTGATCCATTTTCATTGGTCAGTCCCACAGTCGGTGTGATTTCAGTTAAAGTTAATGGACATGAAAAGATTGTTTCTTATACAAACATCTCCAAGTAGAATTGAGTGGGATAATGGTTGATTATAAACTGTGGAAGAAAAGTTAAGATTCGATGAAAGCAGGCTCAGAATCTCACGTTATACACATGAGACGTCTGAAAGAATTACATGAATCTGTAGAAGTGACAGTTAAGACTCATTTGAGGAAATTTGAGAGTAGTGATAAGGAAGAATTGAATTTCGAGGAAGGTGGAGAGAACGATTGATAATTTTTATATTTCAGTTCGTAATATAGCTGTTAATCACTTTTCACATTATCACTGGGATGTTAGTCTGTTCAGAACCATGAAATTAAGTAAACCTTATTATTGTGATAAGTGAAAGCCACAAGAAGGATTATATATTCAATGCGGTTGGTATACAGACAGTGGTAGAAAATAATAATGCTCAGGATATTTAATGCAATTTATAGCTTAAGTATCTGGTTCTACAATTTTCTATATTATTAAGCCTTGAATTATATGGATACCTGGTCAGGATCATTAAAGCAGTGAGCACTCATTAGACATCTGTGTAATTTGAATAGAATGTTTAACTTTCAATAATAGTCTTATTTTGTTTTACTTACAGGCACTTAAAGGATTGGCAATTGACAGACATTTGCTGGGCTTGAAGCTCCAGGCTATTGAAGAGGGTCTGAGTGTACCAGAGATCTTCATGGACACATCTTTTGCAGTGGCAACACACTGGAGACTCTCAACAGGGCAGGTAGGTTCAAGTTGCAACAGGGAATGATGAATGATGATTTCCATTTTCATAGCCACCTGAACTGTCAGTAGCATCACCACACAGTAGTCACTCCCAGATATGCTTCATTGTCTAAGAGTCCTGTTAACAAGTTCCAAACAGTAAAATTCGAGTACTTTGTTTCCTAGTTTCATGAACATATAATGACCTATTTTAAAGTGTCTCCATCCTTTTCTTTAAATACGTGTTTGTGTTCAATACCTTCCAATCTACTGGGATCATTCGAAAATCTAAAGAATTCCAGAAGATCAAAACCAAACCATCAACTATTGCTGTGGCTACTGTCCCACTCTTCTCCAAATGTACACCCTGGAATATTTTCCAAGGGGAACAGCAATTTAGGACCTCACAAAGACAACACCTTCAATGAAACTGAACTCCTTCTGTAATGCTACTGAGGAGGACTCCAATAACAAAGCATTTAATGTCAGCCTGGATTAAAAACTCCAATTAGGATGATAATGGAGCCCATAATTTGTTAACTGAAAATGAGATAGTTGAGAAAAATGAAGTTTGGGAATATGTTGGAACTTGCAAAATTGGAGGGCAATGTACAGGATATCAGAGAAGATTGTTTACAAATTGCTATGCCATTGCAAGATCAAGCTATTTGATTAAAATGTTTAAAATTGAAATATGATTGAAATTAAACATTATGAGACAACACTTAGTGATGTAAGGTCTATTTTATGTATAGCTTGAGTTTTAAAAGTTTAGCTCATGAATATAGCCACAAAATTTAACATGGAATATTCTTGCATATTATTGAGCACTAGACTAGGTTGGATTTGCATTTTTATAGTTTTGCTTTGCACAACAGAAATGACAACAGAGGTTGGTTATAATCAATGCATTTTTTTTAAATGAATGTTTGTCACTGATGAAATCAGGATATGTTGCCTATGTCTAATTATCCTTTAGAAAGTATTGCTGCTTTGCGCACAAGAGCACTTTTGGATTGCTGAGTTGTCTTTTTGAGTCACTTCAGTTCATCTGGTGTAAGTACATCAACAGTGCTGCAAGAAAGAGTGTTTCAGGATTCTGACCCAGTGACAATGAAAGACCATTGATATAATTCAAGTCAGATGTCCATGTGGTGTTGATGTCCCCATACACTTGCTGCCCTTGTCCTTCTCGGCATCAGAATCATGGTTGGGAAGGTGCGGAGACTGAGGACATTGGTGCACTTCTTGTAGTTGCTACAAATTGCTGCCATGGTTAGTGGAGGAAGTAAAGGTTTAACCTGGTAGATTGGGTGCTGATCAAGGGGGTGTCCTGGAACATGGTTTTTGAATGTTCTTGGAGCTGTACTCATCCAGAAGACAAGCAGAGTGTATTCCATCTCATTCACTAGGCTGGAGGGATTGTTTAATGAGCAAAATTTAAATAGGTTGGGACCTTACTTAGAGTTTTGAAGAATGAGAGGTAATCTCATTGAAACATGTAGGATTCTTAATTGTCTCTAAGGGTAAATGCTGAGAAGATGTTCCCCCTCAGGAGAATCTAGGACGAGAGAGCACAGTCTCAGAATAAAAGGGGTGCCAATTTGAGACTGAAATGAGGAGGAATTTCTTATTTCAGGGTTATGAGCCTTTGGAGCTCCTTGTCAAAGAGAGCTGTGGGGGAAGAATCCTTGTCCATATTTAAGTCTAAGATAAATTCTTGATCAAGGGTTACAGGGAAAATGCAGAAAAGTGTATGTAAGGAATGTCAGCTCACCCATGATCCTATTGAATGGCAGAGCAGGCTTGAGGGGCCAACTGGCCTACTCCTGTTCCTATTTCTTATGGTCACTTCTGACTTACTTTGTAGATGGTTCAGACTTTGAGGTGATAGCAGATGAGTTTTTTGCTGCAAATTTCTCAGCCTGTAACCTGCTATTGTAACCACAGTAAGTTGGTGGAAGATGGAATATTAACAAAAGCATTGGGAGGATTATCTAATCCTCAGTAACATAAAAGTAAAATAAAGAATTGTGGATGCTAGTGATCTAAACCAAAAATACAAAGTGCTGGAGAAAGTCAGCTGATATGTCAGCATCTGTAGAGAGAAAAATAGAGTTAACATTGAGTCCAGTGAGCTTTTCTCATTAGCCTCTGGGACATGCAGATAAAGATTAGATTTAACATCTCTCCTGCAGAATTGCCTCACAGGCAGACCAGTCAATGCAATTCAACAAGCAGAAAACAATAACGGTATATTGAGCTGTGCACTTCCATTCTTTTAGCATCTTGCAAACTATGAGCCACCCTCGATCCTTACAAGATTTGGGTGGTCCGATCTACAGAATCGGCTGCAGTCACACTTTGATTCATTTAATCAGCTTCAGCAGCCATGAGATCAGATGCATCGATCCAAGATCCATCTTTTGATATTCACACATGTGGATGGTTTGGTGATAGAAATATATTTTTCCTTTCACTGAGTGTGCAAATTCCAAAATAGTGAATCTGGTAGAAGTGGAGGTACTGTTAGATGCTATGCATGTGTTATATGTTTTGAAGTTGCAAGATTGGTCTTAAGTTGATTTTTTTTTCCTCCTATCTAGGTGGCTGCCAGAGCAGACTGTGTAATGTGCTTTGGTCCCATGGTGCCAGATGGATATGGCGTCTGGTACAATCCCTTGGAAGATCATATCAATTTCACTGTCTCTGCCTTCAACTGCTGTGAAGAGACTAATGCAGAATCATTTTCAAAATCTCTGGAGATAGCTCTATCAGACATGCAGAACTTAGTTTTACAGACATCTGGTCAGGCTGCATAGGGGAGTCTGGAAGGAAATGTCATTCGCCTTAGAAGGAGCACAATACATTCTTTATTGTGAAGTCATCTTCAAAACTGAACCAAATTGTTTGGTTGAGACAGATGGTCATTCGATCCAAATGCCCAGCAAACTGAATTGTTAGTTGGTACCTATCCTAAAACCTAGTTGTAAGATGCTGGAGGCTGTTCAAGCACAAGAATATGCTTTCAGTACGTTTTAAAGGGCAAGGTTTAAAGATCTTGTTCTCAAAATGTGTTTAATGAAACTCAAATTTGTCATTTGTCTAGTATAATATACACCAATGTTGTGCTTACAGTAATGTTACAAATGTGATGTGTTTATGTGGATGTAAAAGATGGACTTCATTTATTTTTTCTGCTGAATACCTTCCTGTTACATAATTAGTGATGGCCACTTTCTCTGGTACAATAATTGATTTCCACAGAGGTCAATGTATGCAGGCAATGGAAATCTGGTACAGCTTTCCGTTAAATCCAATTACTTATCTTTTACCATCTTCATGCACGTTTTGCACTGCATGATTGCCTCTCATACCAAAATCTAAATTATGTGATACAGTGAAGATCTGTAGAACCTGAACACTAATCTGAGATCTATTCTGTTCAACATACCATATACCTACTAGCCCTAAGGTACCCTCATATTTCACATTTTGCTTGTGGTAGCATTCATGTTTTGTACATGAAACCCCCTGTATGGGATCAGAATTTGTCAGTGCCATTAGTGTAGGGTTTGGTCATGCAGCCACAGAGAAGTTCAACCAGAGTTACATGGGTTAAGTTTGAAGCTCAATCCCAAAGAAGGTGATAAATAGTCACCATCCTTTAAAATGGAATGTTTGCTCAGAAACAATGATTAATTTTGAAATATATTTCTCATGCAGATACTTGGACACATTGCTGTACACATGTTGGTTCTTCCCAGTGTTATGAACACTACTACTATTGAAAAAAGATGATATGGTGCAACAAGCATTTTAAATAAATAGTTCATGCAATCTTTTGTTTCTCTCAACACATTTATTGGTATCTACTTTTGGTGTTGTCTATTGCAAGTGTGAATTGAGAATAATTAAAGTAACTTGTACAAAAACAGGAGTTGCTGGAAAAGCTCAGCAGGTCTGACAGCATCCATGAAGAAAAAAATCAGTCAATGTTTCGGGTCCGGTTACCCTTTCTCAGAACAGTTGACTGATTTTTTTCTTCACAGATGCTGCCAGACCTGCTGAGCTTTTCCAGCAACTCCTGTTTTTCTCCCCCCGATTTACAGCATTCGCAGTTCTTTCGGTTTTTATAAAGTAACTTGAGCTTGGCATCCATCTATAAGACTAAGTTTGTCACATCTTGAACAAGTAGAGACTCAGCAAGAAGAGGTCTTTGTTTTCAATTGCTAGTAATATTCAACATTTTGCATTGCTGTGGCTCATTGTGGAGGACAGCCATACCTTCTTCCCTCTCGACTTTGCTGTTTGCTATGTTTGCATCAGGTTTTATAGAAACCAATAGCCCAAAAAGAGGTAATTCATCCCATTGTGCCTCTGCTGGTCTATGAAATAGCAGTTAAGCCGAGTCCAACACCATGCTCCATTTTTCCATAACCCTGTAAATTTGTCATCTTTAGACACCTCAAAGGCAACTAGAAATGGGCAATAAATGCTGACCTAGCCAGCAATATAATAACCTATCCAACTGCGTTTTAAAATTATTTTGGAGTCAGTTTCCACCACCATTTTGTAATGAGTATTCTAGATCCCAATAGCTCACTGACATTTCTCAATATCTTGCTTCCAGCTCTTTTGCCAGTGATGTTAAATTGATGGCTTCTGAATATTTACTCACTTAGAGGATAGTTTTCCTCTACTGCTGTGTTTTCCCAAATCTGAAGTTTTAATAGAATTAACAGCCTGTTAACAACTGTATGCAATGTAAAAAGTAGCAGGAAAAAGAGCCCAAGAACAATTGAAAGCAGATTTTTGTTTCAGGTGATTGTGGAAGATTATAAGATAAAGTCTGTCCAGCAACAAAAATAGCCAGTGAACAAAGTAACTTAAAAGTTTTAGATGAACCAAAGGGTTACAAAAGTTAAATAGTACATAGGCACAATCAAATTAAATGAGACCATAGTTAAGGTTGTAAGACTTAATTGAAACTACTGGAAGGTATTCAGGGGTTTGAACCCTAATGCAGAGACCTGAGCATGAAAACTAGGTGGACACTCGGATGCGGCACTTATGGAATGCTTTGCTGCCAGAGATACCATCTTCCAGATGAGTCTTTAAACTATGACTATACCTGCCCTCTTCAGTGGATGTGAAAGGTCTCGACAATATTTTGAAGAGTAGCTGACAGTTGTTTCCTTCAAAAGTAAAATAAATGCTGGGATACTCTGCAGATCTGGCTGCATCACTGGAAAGAACAGAGCTAAAGTTTAAGGCCAATAACACATTGACAAGTCTTTGGCTGAAAATATTAGTTCTGTTTCTCCGTAAGTACTGCTAAAATTGCTGGATATTTACAGCATTTTCTGTGTTTACTTCTTATTGTCAGTACGGGTCCCCTGCTCTGAAATTTCCTCCCCATTGCCTGTGTCTCATTTTTTCTTTAAAACACTCCTTAAAACAATGCATTTGACAGCTTTTGGCCGCTGACCTAGCATTACCTTGTGGATCTCAATTTCGCTGTTTTATAATGTCCCTGATGGTGCCTTAGGACTATGTAAATATATCTCAAACATAAAAAATAAGATGTTCATACAATATCATTTTGCTGTGAATTGAATTGGTTAATGTGTTTTAACATTTAACATTTCAAAAATACTTAATTTGGCTGTAAAGCAATTTCAGAGATCTTATGGTTGTGAAAGGCACTACATGAAGGCAGTTTAAATGCATGAACTAAATGTGGTTGTCAGAGTTCCTTAGAAGAGTTAGAATGGGCTCAATGTCAATTTGCTACTGCTTTCATCAGCCCAGCGATGACAAGAAAGTTGAGAAAATATAGTGGGACTGAGAAAACATCAGATTTCCACAGTTGAGGAAAGAAATCTCCAATTTTCTCAATTTTTAAACAGTGAGTTCTCAATCCAGCTGAGCAGCAATTACCATAGCTCTATGTGTTTGTATCTCATCATTAGCTAAACCTGCCTTATTTCTACAGAGCTTCCAATTCTCCTCTTGTACCCCACGAAACTAGACAGTGCCAATTCCCAACATGGAGGTTAGTGTGGTTAGCTTCTCCAGACAGTTGTACCTTCACCACTATGTCCTTGCAAAATCACTGGACACTAAACTCTTCCACCCTTTATCCAACAAAGTAGACACTGGCCATCCACCAGCCTCACAACATGGCTGCATTCAGATCAACTCTCACACCACCTCAGCCATAAGGACTTGACTTTGGAATTAATGGAGTCCTGTGCCTTGCATGCTTCTTCAAGTTCACTTGGCCACAGACACACATCATCCACCTTAAACCTCCCCAAAAGCAAACACTTTCAAATAAAAATAAAATCAAAACTCAAGTTAATTCTGTTTCCCTCTCCAAAAATTCTCAGTGCTCTCTATTTTTATTTCTGACATCCAACAAAAGACCACAAGACGCAGAAGCAGAACATTCAGCATGACAAGTCTGCTTTGCCATTCGTTGAGATCAAAGCTGATCTGATAGTCTTCAACTTCCCTGCCTTTTCCCTATAATTCTTGATTCCTTGACTGATTAAAAATCTGTTTATCTCAGCCTTGAATGTACTTAACAACCCAGCTTGGACAGCTCTCTGCAGTAAAGAATTCCACAAATTCAGTACACTTGAGTCACAGAGTTATACAGCACAGAAGACCCTTCAGTCTAACTTGTCCACACTGACCAAGTTTCCCAAACTAGACTAGATGCCACTTGCCTAGATCTCTCTAAACCTTTCCTATTAAATGTACCTGTCCAAATGTGCCCCCAAGTTTTGAACTCACCCATCCTAGGGAAAAGACCTTTTCTATTCTTATCTATGCCCCTCATGATTTTATAAACCTCTGTAAGGCCACCCTTCAACCTCCTCTTCTCCAGTGAAAGAAAAAGGTCCAAGCCTGTCCAGCCTATCTTTATAATTAAAACCCTCCAATCCCAGTACCATCCTTAAATCTTTTCTGAACCCTCTCCAAAATAATGATATCCTTCCTATAGCAGGGTGACCAGAACAGTACACAGTACTTTAAAAGTGGCCTCAACAACATCCTGTACAACCTCAATATGATATCCCAACTCCTGTACACAATGGTCTGGGCAATGAAGGCAAGTGTGCTAAATGCCTTCTTCACCACCCTGTCTACTTGTGGTACAACTTTCAAAAGAACTATGTACCTGAACCCCTAAGTCTCTCTGTTTGACAACACTACCCAAGGTGCTACTAAGTATACAAGTCCTGGACTTGTTTGTTTTACCAAAATGCAATACCTCACATTTATCCAAATTAAACTCCATCTGCCACTCCTCAGGCCATTGGCCCAATTGATCAAGATCCCTTTGTAAGCTTAAGTATTCTTATTTGCCCCTCATTTGACTGTACCATCAATTTTGGTGTCATCTACAAACTTGCTAACCATGTCTCGTAAATTCTCATCCAAATTGTTTACATAAATGACAAACAATCCAATCCCTGCAGAACAGCACTGGTCACAGGCCTCTAGTCCAAAAAAGAAACCCCCACCAACCTCTGAATCCTACTGTCACGCCAATTTTGTATCCAATTGGCAAGTTCACCCTGAATCTCATGTGATCTAACTTACTAAGTACTCAGCAGAAATTCCTCCTCATTTCTGTCTTAAATGGTGATGTCTTAATCTGAGATTATGTCCTCTGGTCTAGACTCTCCCACAAGGGGAAACAATCTTTCCACATCTACCCCATCAAGTTATCTAAAGATCTCTTACATTTCAATAATGTGGTGTCTCATTCTTCTAAGTTCTAATGAGTAGACTCATTATTTCAACATTAGACAGTCCCTCCATACCTTGTTCTAAAACAGAAATTGCTGGTGAAAATTAGCAGGTCTGACAGCATCTGCGGGGAGAAAGCAGAGTTAACATTTTGAGTCCAGCGACTTTTCATCAGAACTCATACCTGGTATCAGCCTAGTAAATATTCCCTAAACTGCCTCCATTGCTAGTATACGTTTCCACAGATAAGGGGCTGGAAACTGTTCAGTATTCCAGCTGTAGTCTGACCAGTGCTTTATATAGCTTTAGTAAAATCTCCCAACTGTATACTCCATTCCCTTTGAATTAAAGGCCAATATTCCATTTGCCTTCCCTAATACAAAGTTAGCAGCAAGTTCAGTGGAAATGTTTCAAGGATATACAAAATTTTGTGCTGATTAAACATGGTGCTGTTGCTGCTTTACTCTGATTCTGGATGTCACAATAGCTAGTCTTCCTGTTACTTTTATAACTATATTTATTTCAATGGGTGAAACTTGACACCATCTAGGTCAAGAGATAACAAGGTGTAGAGCTGGATGAACACAGCAGGCCAAGCAGCATCAGAGGAGCAGGAAAGCTGACGTTTCGGGTCTAGACCCTTCTTCAGAAAAAAAAAGCCATCTAGGACAATGCACCCTTCCTTGATTGGTACCATATCCACAAGCATCCATTCCTTTCATCACTGACGTTTAGTATCAGTGTGCACTATTTACAAGATGCACTGCAGAAATTTACCAAGGCTCGTTAGGAAGGACCTTCCAAACTCACAACCACTTCCAAGGCGGCAGGTATATAGAAACACCACCACCTGCAAGTTCCCTCTTATTTCAAAAATATAATTTATTCATTAAAAAATCTTTGTATATAAACAAAGTCACAAACGTGGTTTTGTTCTGTACAGTATCATATCAAGACAAACATTCGAATTTGGAGTATCTAAAGAAACCAAAGACCTCCCTTTCAAATACATGACTATATTTACATACTTTTGAGGCACGGAGAGGGTCCGATAACTGACCAAAGCTCCCCATTTACCTTCAGCAGGAAGACCTTAGACGGTGGTCTTTCTCCACAAGTCACTCACCGTCCTGACTTGGAAATCTATCGCAGTTTCCTCAGTGTGGCTAAATCAAACTCCCCCACCGACTGCTTACGACCACCTTCGCAAGGGCAACTCAGAATGGGCATTTAAAAGCTGGCACAACCAGCCACGCCCACATCCCGCTAAAAGAAAAAACAATACCCTGTCATAAAATGTTATTTTTAAAACGCTTTCATTAATTTATTTACCAATCCCTTGCACGGTTTCACTCTCTCTGATCCGCCCAGTTTTACGCTCCATTTTGTCGAATTTTGAAATCATTTCCCTTTTTCTTTCAACAGCGGCTGAAATTATTAACTCCACATTAAAAGATGCTGTTTTTTGTTGCCGTGCAGCGCTCACAGACGCGCCGAGAATGAAAAGGGACAAGGTGCTCGCTGAAACTTTTGAGTAACAACCAAGTTCACGGGTCCCGGAAGCCTTCGCCTCACAGAGATTTGGGTGAGAAACGTGGATTTCAAGCATTTACTTTAGGATTTATCACCAGGAATCGGTCAGTGCTAAAATACGCCGCCGTATTCCAGGGGGAAGAGGCTGGGGCTGGGGCTGGGGCTGGGGTCGGGGGTGGGGGTGAGGAATTCAGGGTGTGTTCCGGCCAATGTGAAACCGGGAAGAAATCCCCACCCTTCCCCGTGGCCTTACACCCAGGCTTGTGTTGTACTAAATCGCGTTTTAGTTAAAACATAGACTTGTATTTATACAGCGCCGTTCATGCCCTCAAAACATTTCAAATATTTTGCATTCAGTAAAGTGCAATATTTCTGAAACCAGATGCTGTTCGAATATAGGATACAACGCACAGAAATGCGCACAAGATCCAAAGTCAGTAATTTAATTCCTCGGTTTTATTTTAAAGACAATACTAATTTGAATTGAGATGTTGTCCAGAACTCGGGGGAAAGGCCCACACCCCACTTTGAGAAAGGGATCTTTCTTTTATATTTAAACTAGGAACAGACTAGGCCATTTATTATGGAGATAGTAGGAACTGCAGATGCTGGAGAATCCGAGACAACAAGGTGCAGGGCTGGATGAACACAGCAGGCCAAGCAGCATCATAGGAGCAGAGAGGCTGATGGTAGGTAGTCTATTCAACTCATGGAATTACCCTAACGCAAACCCTACTCCACCATTCCTGCCATACGTGGAACAATCCCTCTTCCGTACCTACACCGGCCCTAAACCCCACCTCTTCCTCCGTTACATTGATGACTGTATCGGCGCCGCCTCGTGCTCCCACGAGGAGCTCGAACAGTTCATACACTTCACTAACACCTTCCACCCCAACCTTAAGTTTACCTGGACCATCTCTAACACCTCTCTCCCCTTCCTGGACCTCTCTGTCTCCATATCGGGCAACCACCTAGAAACCGATATTCATTTCAAGCCCACCGACTCCCACAGCTACCTAGAATACTCCTCCTCCCACCCACCTTCCTGCAAAAATGCTATCCCCTATTCCCAATTCCTTCGCCTCCGCCGCATCTGCTCCCAGGATGAGGCATTCCACTCCCGTACATCTCAGTTGTCCTCGTTTTTCAAGGACCGTAACTTCCCCTCCTCGGTGGTCGAGAACGCCCTCAACCATGTCTCCCACATCTCCCGCACCTCATCCCTCACACCCCGTCCACGCAATAAAAACCAAAAAAGAATCCCCCTCGTCCTCACGTACCACCCCACCAACCTCCGGATCCAACGCATCATCCTCCGACACTTCCGCCATCTGCAATCCGACCCCACCACCAAAGACATCTTTCCCTCCCCACCCTTATCTGCTTTCCGGAGGGACAACTCTCTCCGTGACTCCCTTGTCCGCTCCACACTCCCCTCCAGCTCCACCACACCCGGCACTTTTCCCTGCAACCGCAGGAAGTGCTACACCTGCCCCCATACCTCCTCCCTCACCCCCATCCCAGGCCCCAAGAAGACTTTCCACATCAAGCAGATGTTCACCTGCACATCTGCCAATGTGGTATACTGCATCCGCTGTACCCGGTGTGGCTTCCTCTACATCGGGGAAACCAAGTGGAGACTCGGGGACCGCTTTGCAGAACACCTACGCTCGGTTCGCAACAAACAACTGCACCTCCCAGTCGCGAACCATTTCAACTCCCCCTCCCATTCCTCAGACGACATGTCCATCCTGGGCCTCCTGCAGTGCCACAACGATGCCACCCGAAGGTTGCAGGAACAGCAACTCATATTCCGCTTGGGAACCCTGCAGCCCAATGGTATCAATGTGGATTTCACAAGTTTCAAAATCTCCCCTCCCCCCACCGCATCCCAAAACCAGTCCAGCTCGTCCCTGCCTCCCTAACCTGTTCTTCCTCCCACCTATCCCCTCCTCCCACCTCAAGCCGCACCTCCATCTCCTACCGACCAACCTCATCCCGCCCCCTTGACCTGTCCGTCCTCCCTGGACTGACCTATCCCCTTCCTAACTCCCTACCTACACTCACCTTTCCTGGCCCCATCCCCGCCTCTTCGACCTGTTTGTTTCCTCTCCACCTATCCTCTCCTCTATCCCTCTTCTATCCGCCTCCCACTCTCTCCCTATTTATTTCAAAACCCCCTTCCCCTCCCCCTTTTCTGATGAAGGGTCTAGGCCCGAAACGTCAGCCTCTCTGCTCCTATGATGCTGCTTGGCCTGCTGTGTTCATCCAGCCCTGCACCTTGTTGTCTCTCATTTATTATGGAGTCTTGCTGTGTTCGTGTGTGAGAAGAATGATCCTTATTTTAACGGTCTTAAGTTTGCCTTCTCCTTGCCTCTTGGTGAAGGGTTGTTGAATGAAAAGAGAATTTTGGACAAGGAGCCAGTTGCATTGAGTTATTCAGCACTGACCAGGAAATGTACATGCTACAGGTGAAAGGAGCAAAGTAGTGTCAAAGTTGTCTCCTTGGTTGCTTGCTGAATGAGCACGTTTAGCAAGTAAAGGTTGGCTTTTGCTTTTATTGGACAAGGTTATTGACTGTGGGCAAAGCCACAGCACAAAGCTAGGCTGCTGTGGGGAGGCACTTCTTCCTGCAAAAGATGGCCGAAATCTGAAGTTCCACCCTTCTAAGAAACCGCTGATGCTGGAAATCAATTGACAATGACAAAAATAGATTCTTGTAAAAGCGAAATACTGTGGATCCTGGAATTCGGAAATGCAAACGGAAAATATTGAGTATACCTTTATCGTAGGGTAGGTAACATCTGTGAAGAGAGAAACCATTTCAGGTTGATGAGCTGCTTGATCTCTTGATCTACGAGGTTTACAGAACCTTGTTAGTAATGATTTTAGGGTTAGTCATTAGAGAATTAGCTCACAGGCAGGACACTGAGCGGGGATAAAGAGTTCTTTTCAGATTGGCAACGGGGAACCAATGGGGTTCCACAAGGAACAGTGCTGGGATCACAACTGTTTACAATATATATTAATGACTTGGAGGAAGGAAGCAAATATACTTCAGCTAAATTTACAGAGAACACAAAAATAGGTAGAAAGGCAAGTTGTGAGAGGGATGAAAACAGTTTACAGAGATTGAGTGGGCAAAAAGTTGGCAAATGGAGCATAATTTGGGAGAATGTGAAGTTGTTCATTTTGGAAGCGAAAACAAAAGAACAGTATCATTTTAATGGAGAAAATCAGCAGAAAGCTGGACAGGACTTGGGGATACATGTGGCATGGCATGCATTTGGACTCCTTGGAGGGCTGGTTGGTCCAGTAGATTGGATGACAAAAGTGGATCACAATAGTGCTAACAGCATGAGATTCAGTCCCCTTTCCAGCTGTCAGAGGACTCAATACCTGTCGTCTTGCACTATCTGTGATAGACATTGTGGATGTGGGTCAGACCTGCCCTCGAGAAAAAGAATGAAATGTATTTATTTATTTGAGAAACACATAGGTCTATTGAAGTATTAGCTTTTTAGAAACAATAACCAAGATTGCCAGGCATCATGGACATTCATGCACATGCAAGTGAACTACACCATGGCTCTCGATGCTTGTGCTCTTTCTTGCAGCAAGATGATACATGCCACTACTCTAGCTCCTGGCCAGTTTCACACTGCAACTTTTACCAGAAAGTCAGCTTTCAGGTTTAATTTTTTTTTTGTGATTTTGTTAAGTATTTTGGGTGAAAGCTGCTTCTCCCTCCTGTAACAGCACAACCATGTGACCAAGTTAACAATGAAACTTTTTAAGCAAGTAAGACCTTGTTGTTTTGGATCCAAGTTCAGATTTGATAATGGGAGTAAAAGAATACCAATTGGTTTCACCATTTTTCGATAATAGATGTGATATCTTAAAAGATATGTCATGCAAAGATACTTTTTATTGATTTTTAACTAGTTGACTGTAACATTATGCATTGAGAGTTACAGGTTGCTCTTTGCCAGTACCAGCTGCAAGATCGATCTGGATTTGTCCAAGTTTTGTGTGTGATTAGTTTCTCACTTCTTTATTTTTAAATGTAATTTCACTGCGCTCTTATTTTTCCCAAATGTTGCCATATTTAGGGAGCCAATCACCTAATCCAGCCAGGCAGGATGTTGCTGACAATGTTGCAGCTTCAGAGATGTGGGAATTGATTCCCCCCTATTGTGTAGTATCAAAGGATCAGCCTAGGAAGTGGAAATATTGATGCAAAATTGGATGTGATTGATACAAATAAGAAGTGGTTAGCTCTGCTGCCTCACAGAGCCAGGGACCCAGGTTTGGTTCCACCCTCTGGTGTCTGTCTGTGGGTAATTTGCACATTCTCCCCATGTCTGTGCGTGTTTCCTCTGGGTGCCCCGGCCTCCTCCCATAGTCCAAAGATGTGCAAGTTAGGTGGATTGGCCATGCTCTTTTACCCATAGTGTCCAGGGATATGTGCATGAGTTGGATTAGCCATGAAAAATGCAGGGTTACAGAAATAGGGTAAGGGTAATGCAGGGTAAGGGGGTGGGTCTAGGTGGGAATACTCTTCAGAGGGTGTGTGGACTCGATGTGCTGAATGGCCTGCTTTTGCACGTAGGAATTCTATGAACATGTGACAGGTAATGAACCAAACGTGGGACCCTTCTGGAGTCTATTATTATGGGATAAAATAGCTGAGCCATTACAGATCTTCATGTTGAAATCACATGTTTTCAACTGCAGTGGTGTTAGACCAGTATAAGACTAGTAGCTCATTTTAACATTGTTTGACTTCCCTCTGACTGTGATGGACCTATTCAATTGTGAAGACAGTTGGAGGTATGATGGTTGGTGACATATGTTGTGTATGAGGAACTGGAAGTCGAGGCTTACCATGTGTAAGGGAGATGGGGAATGAACAATGGGGAATTATTTGTCTTAAGCAAGATTGTACCTCTGCTTTGTAACAATACCGTGGCTTTAAAAGGTGTATCTTGTCCTTTATTTCTACGAGGAAAGGTTGAGACAGAGGTGTTGAGTAGTCTGCTCTGAAGCCAATAAAGTAAACAGCTTGTGAGGCCTTGGGCTTTTTCTTAAGTTGGAGCAGTAGAAGCAGCATGACGGGGTGGACTCAAGCTCCCAAGGTTCAGTTGCAGTTGCTGGAGTCTTGAAGCTGGATGTAGAAGCTCTTATTCCTCTCTCTGTTACAGCTACAACATTGGGTTCTCTTCCTACTGCTAGAATTGCATGTGAGACAATCTATTTTACTGAATTTGCCTTTGCCAAGGGTGTGTTTATGGTATCTTACTATATTGGAATAGTTAGTTAGTAGTAGTCGATATATATATATATATTTTCATATGTATATTATTTTGTTAAGCATTTTGATAGAGTTAAGGTTAAACTAATTTATTATATTTTGTCTGCATTTTAATTATAATGTATGAATGAAATGTTAAAGACAAAAGAACTGTGGATGCTGTAAATCAGAAACAAAAACAGAAGTTGCTGTTCGAGAAAAGATCACCAGACCCAAAACATTAATTCTGATTTCTTTTCACAGATGTTCTCAGACCTGCTGAGTTTTTCCAGCAACTTCTGTTGTTGTTCATGAAAAAAGTTGTGTTTTGGTTTCAAGCCTGGTAATTTGAATAATTGAATTGCATCTGGAACACAATGCCTTACACTTACCTCTAAAATAAGAAAAAGTTAAGGTCTAGGCTATCTTCCTAACATAATTTGCAGGATGTTTGGTCTGGTCTAATAACAGCTTTATAACAGAAATTTCATAAATTGTTGCAATTGTTCATATTTTAGCACCCTTCAGCTTAATTTCAGTGCGATTTCATTATTTTGATGCTCTCTTCAAAAGGTTAACAAGGATTTTCTTCGAGGTAATCAATTAAATCTGCGCAAAGATGAACAGAAGACGTGTCAGTGTTATGCTCCTATTCAGTATTCTTCAATTTGCAATGCCAGGTAAGAAAGAGTTTTTACGAGAAATCTTATTTGTCTGGCCCTATAAGGGTTACTACATTTGAGGTGAACAATTTTGGGCAACAGGAAAATTCATTTGACATAGAGCAACCATCCACTTGTGACTAGATTATCATAGTGATTATGTTTCTAAACTAATTATGTGAAATCCAAACTAATAATGCAGAGGCATGAAGTCCTATCATAGCAACTGGGAAGTTTAAATTCAACAAAATTAAATCTGGAATAAAAAGTTGGTCTCTGTAATGGTGACCGTGAAAGTACGGGATTTACTGATAAGGTTCAAATAATGCTAAAGTAGCCCTTGGTTTCTTGTCTGACAACCCCTTGCTCAGTCAATGTTTCATTGCTACTGAGATCACAAGATGGCATGGTGGCTCAGTGGTTAGCACAGCTGCCTCACAGCACTAGGGACCCATGTTCAATTCCAGTGTGGGGCAAAAGTCTGTGTGGAGTTTGCACATTCTCCGTGGGTCTGTGTGGGTTTTCTCTGGGTGCTCCAGTTTCCCCTCTCAGTCCAGAATGCACAGGCTAGGTGGATTGGCCGTGCTAAATTGCCTGTAGTGTTCAGGGGTGTGTAGATTTGGTGGGTTATAAGGGGATGGGTCTGGGTGGCATGCTGTGAGATTTGATGTGGACTTGTTGGGTCGAAGGGTCTGTTTCCACACTGTAAGGATTCTAAGATTCATTCTATGAAGATAAATACCGGTGAGCAAGCCAATTCGATCTGTGTTTGTTCAGTCATCTAGAGATTTCTTCCAAGCCCCATGTCAGCATCCAGGAATTTTTGCCTCCACATGTCTTCCTGAGAATCTATTCCTTGTCACTGTCTTGTGTGAAGAATTTCCCAATTTAGTCATACATTGGAACCCTTGTCGTCACCTTGTCGCACCCTGGAAATTTAAATTCATATAGTGCCCCCTACTTATTCTTCCCTTTACCTAAACTGTATTTATAAATATATCCATAAGACTTTCTTTGCATCTTATTGAAAAAGTCCAAGCCTCTTTTCATAACTGACCTTTGGCATCATGGTGGATCAGCTTTGTGGCTCCTTCTCTCCAGCAATTTAATCAGTTCCAGCATCTCTTTAGCAAAAATGTTTCAATGCTTTATCAACTTTGGCAGAACACAAATTCAGCTAAGTTTCCTAAATCTCTTTCAGAACCATGCTTGGCTAACATGTTGAAATTTGAATATTGACTGAATGAGATCACAACCTTACCTTTAACAGCTGCAGCAGGATAATTTGTACAGTTTTCAACCTTTTGGAGATCACTTGGCTTCAATGTGAGTTTTTCTTGAGAAATAAAAAATAATTCAAACTTGAGAGAGATTTGTTTGGAAATTGCTCTCTGTCTTTCTCTTTCTCCCTGGAACTGGTAGGAAAGTGAAGTGGAGGCATAGAATCATAGAATCCCTACAGTGTGGAAGCAGGCCATTTGGCCTGTCAAGTCCACACAGAACCCCTCCCCCACCCCCGTAACCCTCTATTTCCTATGGCTAACCCACTTAGTCTTCAGCCCTGGACTCTCTGGACAATATAGCATGGCCATAGTGTCCAGGAATATGCAAGATAAGTAGGTTAACCATTGGAAATTACTGAATCAAATTGGTTTTTCTGACAAACAGCAATGGATTCACGGTCATCATTAGACTCTTAATTCCAGATGTTTATTGTTCAAATTTATGTTTTATGTACATTCAAGATTTAGATGTTCAATTTCATCATCTGCCATGCCAGGATTTGTAACTGGGTCTCTGGATTAACAGTCCAGCAATAATACCACTAGGCCATCACTTCCCCTTTTCCATTTTGTGTAATTAACTTATTGTCTTTAGGTACATCAGTAGCCTCGTGAATATGTTCAGTGACTGACCAACACGTATCCGAATTTTAAACAATAGTCCTGTAGCTTATCATGCCTGGTTTCACTCCGAGACCTTACTTGTTCAGTATTACCATCAGCTAGAATCACGGCACTGATGACATCGTTTAAAATATTATATTTCAGTTGAGACATTTGATGTCATTGGATCAAAACGTCCCATTATAGTCACTGTGGATGATGATGCTGTATTACCATGCCATGTGGAACCAGGTACATCATTGGAAGATCTGGAGGTTCGATGGTTTAGGTCAGACTTTACTTCGCCAGTCCATTTATATGCCAATAAACAGGATCGACCCAATTTGCAGGATAAGGCTTACCGAGAAAGAACTGAACTTTTTAACAGAGAGTTTCCTCGTGGAAATGCCTCTCTCAGACTGAAGAAAGTGAAAGCATCAGATGAAGGGAACTACACGTGTTTTATTGACTTCAAATCAAGCTATGAGGAAGCTGTGATAAATCTCAAAATTGGAGGTGAGTACACACTGTTACAATTTTCAAATTGGCAAGATTTTTTTTTAAAAAATTCAAAGCTAATATTACGTGAAAGTGAGCTAAAAATAAAAGCTATTTGTGAATAAACCACACAGTGCTATCATTAGAGTTTCACACTGAAAATCTATGCTGGTATTCAATTAAAATTATTCGATTGTATCATCACAGTTTAAATATGTTTGATTTCATTTTCAGAACCGTTTTTTCTCTTTCTTCGCATTAAGAAAATTTATGGATGAATGTGTTTTAAATATTTATTCGGAGGCCGTGCATTTGTTGGACATAAGAGTTCACTCGGCTCATTTTTATTTTCAGTTTATTGAGTCAAGTGAAGACAGAGGGTGGTATTTTGTTGATGACAGCTCTTTTTACTTTGGGAACAACAGGAGTCCTAAACCTTTAACACATACTGGACAGCACAGTGGCTCAGTGGTTAGCACTGCAGCCTCAGAGCGCCAGGGACCTGTGTCCGATTCCACTCTCGGGTGACTGTCTGTGTGGGGTTTGCACGTTCTCCTCGTGTCTCTGTAGGTTTCCTCTGGCCGCTCTGATTTCTTCCCACAGTCCAAAGATAAGCAGGCTAGGAAATTCAGGGTTTTAGGAGGTGGATCTGGATGAGATATTCTTAGGAAGGTCGGTGTGGACTTGATGGGCCAAGTACCCTGGTTCCCCGCTACAGGGATTCTATGATATTTTCAAGAAATGATGAACTGGGTTTTATCAAATGACTCACCAAGCAGGAGAAAGAGGTCAGAGAAAGAAACTCCTCTATGCTGGGAACACAGTTGTGGTGAAGTTAGTTGTGGAAGTGGTGTCTGGTGAAGAGATGCTTCAATAATTATTTGACCAACTGAACCTATGGAAAAAGCTGAGTTCATCCTGAAGTAGAGAAATTTGTTTATTAATTTCAAATTCAGAACAATTTGGAAATAATGATTGAATCAAAACAATATTAGATTACAACTGTTTCTCTGTATAGTCACTTGCAACCTATCAAGAAAGTGCCTCATTGATTTATCACTGAGCTCGTCTTACTGCTGTCCATTAGTCCATCTTTGGAAAGATTGGAGGAACATGCATTATGCAGACACCGTTTCAATCATAAATTATAAATTACCATGACTTTGGCTTGTGCTGTTGTAAAATGTGAAAAGCAGAAGGATGTGATAAAAGAAAGAGATCTGGACTATTTTTAGGAGTGACTAGCATTGCTGTAACCAAAAATTGCAGGTCCAAAACCTATAGTAAGATTGTCTTCAGAGAAGTTTAAGGTTCTGTGCTCCAGTTGTTGGCTTCATTGTCACCAGTGTAGAGAGGATATACAAAGAGACACCTGAGAATTGTAACCTGGATTATTGTGAGACTCAGAGATTCAGAAATAAATCAATGGAAACAGGGGTTAGAATAACTTGTTCTCCACATGTATGGATGCATGTAATAACAGGCAACAGAGGCAAATAATTCTGTTTTTTTTTAACACCTTGTGAGAGAACTGGATAAAAATCTAGCTTGACGGATAGATATGGATAACAATTACAAAACTGTGTATGGAATGTGTTTTGAATAGTGCAGGTACACATTTAGACAAGATACTAGATTTCTATTGTTCACGTAAAGGGATAAGACTATGTTTGAAGAAACATTACTTGCAGAACGTAAAATCAGTGCAACTTGAAATGGGATGGCCTTTTCTCATGTCAAGCTCTGAAAATTCCAGTTTCCATAGTGTGAGAGAAAAAAGTGAAAATGATAAAACTTGCATTTATACAGCGCTGTTAATAACCCATTGAGGAATAAATATGCATAAGGACAAAGGAGGTACCTAATCTTTAAAATTTATTTTGAAAAGCAGGCAGGACATGGTTTAGCAGTTTTTCCAGAATATTGCACCTTGACCAGCCTTGATTATTTGTTCTAGACTATGCAGTGGAACTTCCAACACACAACCTCTGGTAGAGAAGTGAGAGTTTGTCCAACTATGCCATGGCTGACATGACAATGCAAGGGAATGATTCCTGGTTATAGGAGAAGAGATTAACTGTTTATAAAGACTGAACGAGAGGGAAGGAACCAAGGACCCAATAAGGAGTAAATAGTAGAGAACCGGGCTGGACACATTGTGAAAATGCAGAGAAAGCTGTGGGATCTGGAAAGGGATTTAAGACTGAAAAATCCTTCAGAGGTGGTTGATAAAAGGCCTTGGTTATTGGAAAGCAATGAAAATGATTCTAAATTTACTGCAAGTAGGAGTCGGAGCTGATGTATGTCAGTGAGGGTGAGTGATTAATTGACAAGTGTGTCTTAGTGCAGGATGGGACATAGATGACACAGATTTGGGTTATTTAGAGTGTACATAGAATTGTGGAGATCAGTAGGGAGAATATCCAGTTTTAAAGATGAGAAAAATGACAGTAAGGATTTCATATATGAAAGAGAAGTAGTAGCGACAGGTGTGATCCTGTTTTGGAGGTTGAAGTAACTGTGCATCAATGTAATTAAAATGTTCCAAACAAGACTCCCACAGCTGTCAAAAAAAGTTGCATCATGTCATTAATTGCCAGCTATGGGACAGAAACTTTAAAAAGAATCCATATCCTTCAGCTTTATTCTCATTTTCTTCAAACTTCAGTTTTAAAAAAAAAACTGGGAATGCTGTGAAACAAGGACCACAACATTATTCACTGACACACATCTTTTAGTAGAGGATCTCAGTTTGCCATATTAATTGTCTACCATTAAGTTGCACTGTCACAGTAAACATTAGGAAAGTAATTTTCATTGATCATATTAACTTAGAGAATTAACTTCTAATTGCAGGTATTGGACAGCAGCCTTGGATTCACTTGGAGGGAACCAGTAGCCAAGGAGTTCGTCTTGCATGTAAATCAAATGGGTGGTATCCTGAGCCAACTGTCCAGTGGCTGGATGGAAATCGACGAGTTGTGAATGCAAAGCCTGAAACAACACATCAAAAAGATTCCAATGGCCTTTTTACTGTTTTAACTCGAATTGATGTCACAAGTGACTCAGTGAACAGATTCTCCTGTCTAATGCAAAACAGCTTATTACACAAAGAAGAAGAGGCCCGTCTTCGGATACCAGGTATATGAACAACCTTTTATTGTTTAAGATAAAACTTATTGTGCAAATCAGTTTCCTCCAGTGCTGAAGTGTTTTGCAGCTGGTTAGTCAAGAACCAAGGGAGAACAGCTGAGTACAATCCTTTTCCCTTTCTCAAAACTATTCACGTGTGCTCATAGTTCAGCAGAGGTCACAGGCTAACAGTTTGCAGTAGAAAGATTGTTTAATGATTGACTGTAATCTGATTATTCAACAAGTGCAAGAAATGAAACCTTGGATCTCATGGTTAAGTGCAGTTGCATTAGCTTCAAAGGTTCTGCCTTTTCTGTGCAATTTCATTCCCTTTGGTACAGGTCTGATCACCAGAACAAACTTAGGACCTTGCCGGGATTGCATATTTCTAATTAGACATTGATTCTATTTCTGTTTTATTTTTCAGAAATATTCTTTCCCAAGATCAATGTGTGGCTGATAGTTTTCTGGGTGTTTGTAGCCGTTGTAATTACTGTTATTGTTCTTGACGTAATGTTCCACAGAAAAAAACGTAAAAGAATCAAAGGTAGGAGCATAACTTGCAATTCAATGTTATACCAGTAAAAGGACTGTGTAAAATACTGTGTAAGCAACAACCTTGTGTTATTGGACGTGGGTACAGATACGAGGCTAACGACATTGATTTCATGATAATTCCATTTTCACTTATGGTATAGTGAATGACGAATGCAGTTCTGTCTGTTTTGTTTCCCCAACCACATTATATTGCACTCCTCTTGTGTCTGACACACCTCCACATCTGATTATCATACCATATGAATGAAAAGAAGATCAATTGGATTTTTTCTATGGCTCTGATATCGTGGAACTCATGTAGCTACTCAAAGTCATCCTATGGGATAAAAGCTGCTCTAATCAGATCATTTCTCACTATATCATGTGACCTAATGAAAGGCCCTAAGGTGGTCACTCTTGATCCTGAATTATGCCCAGTCTAACTTGAATTACACCTGAATGGATAAGATATCTCAAAGGTTAGAGCAACTGATGAAATATACAACAATATGGGAGAGTCCTTGTAGTAATGTCCCTACCTCTGAACCAGGAGCCCCAGGTTCAGGCCTCAACTGCCACAGAGGTGTTTCATAACATGCCTGAATAGATTTGTTAGGAAAATAAATACAACAACAGTAATGCTTGTGATGCCGTGGTAGTGTCCTTGCCTCCTGAGCCAGGAGTCCACCTGCTCCAGAGGTATGCAATAACATCTCTGAACAGACTGATGTAGAAATTATTTACAACAATGTGGATCTTCAATAATCTGAATTGTAGAATGGCACCCTGTTCAATGCGATTGAAAAGGATGCTATTATTTTCACAACTTAATCTTATTTCTTCTTTGAGTGAGACTTAAGAACATTTTTATCAACAAACAGTTCAATTGAAACAGTCTGTAACCAATCCTATTCCGTCCATTTCAACATTTATCTTGCATTATATATTACTGTACAGTGATCACTGGTCAGTTTATCTCCTTACCCAGATTCTAATGAAAGGTGATTGACCTGAAATTTTAACTTTATTATTCTCTCCACTGATGCTGTCTGATCTGCTGAATATTTCCAACACTTTCTGATGGAGCTATCATTTGTCCTTTACTGATTATAACATTCCCAGACTTCCCACAATGCACCATTGATCTCGAGCACAGCAGGCCAGGCAGCATCAGAGGAGCAGGAAAG